ACACACACCTGTGCCCAATGCAATTTTCAAGCCACTGAGTCCAGGACTCAAACTGTGGTCAACCGTGTGGGATATGGTGCCTTAACCATCATGCCACCTGCTATCCTGAGACCATACTGATCTTAAATGAATAATGAGGAAGCTGCTGATCAAACCTGGAGTGCTGGGTGCCAAGGACATATGGCCACAGGGCTCAGTTCCACTCTGAGGCTACTGGAACAACGTCTAGCTCAATGTCCACTGAGCTCATGAAGCTCACGTGCCACATAGATTCTAAAACCAGAGGTGCCCACCAGAAATACGCGTACACGTTAGCAACATGTGAATTCAGTTTACTTTAATAACAAGACTTCCTATTCACTGAAATTTTCAGGTAATGGTGGCAACCCCAACTTCAAATCTTAGTTAAATGTTCATGATTTGAGACAGAACTATGAGGAAAACCCTGATCAATGAGGGTGAAACTCACATTTTGAGTATTAAAAATTAGGCAACTTTTTCCTGAACTGGCTACAAAGAACATTTCATTTTTCCAGTGGTTTGGCTGAGTGGCCTGATGTGTCTATCTGTAGACAAACAGCAACAAAAATCCCAGCATCTGATGAATGGATTGGAAAAGTGTGGTATATATACTCTATGGAATACTACTCAGCCATAAAAAATAACAAGACCCTGGAATTTGATAGAAAATGGTCAGATATGGAGGATCTATTGCTGAGTGAAGTAAGCCAGGCTATGAAAGAAAGATATTGTATGTATCCACTCAATATATACCGACTATCCGCACTCTATGATAGAGAGCAAAAAATTGGAGGACATAAAAGCAGTGAAGGTACTTAATGAGAATAGGACAGTGTGGAATGGGGGAAGTGAAGAGAAGAGGATAGAGAAAGATAGCAAGTGAACAATAGAGAGGCAGGACGTTAGTGAGAAACAGATATGGCTTATTAACTGTTGATGATGACATGTATAGTATTCTCAACTGGATTGGTCTGAGAAGTATTTCATGATGGGCAAAGTATTTTTACAAGCAAAATGAGAAATAGTGATTGACTGTTTTAAAAAATAATTAGAATAATAAAAATAATGATTGGGGAAAACATAGAAAAGATATTGAATGTTGAAGTGGGGAGATTAATGTCTCTATACTGACTGACATGCATGGCATTCCCTTTTGAAAAAACAATGTAATATACTGTAAAGTTATATGTAATCCAATGTAATATAAAGAAGATTATGATAATAAAAAAAAACAGCATCAAGCTGCTCAAATTACCCACAATCCTATTTGAACGCCCATCAGTAACATTACCCTGGTCTCCTTACCTTTCACCACATCGGCTACGTTACAGGTGGGATCAATACTTCCTATATGCTTAGGATGAGCTGGATTGGTGTCACCACCGAAGAGAAGTGCTAAACGAACACAAAAGGGAGGGAATTAAAACACAGCAGACTGGGATGGTCGAGCAGGAAAATATAGGAACTTAAAGTTTTGAAAAGACCTCTTTTCTGTAAGAGTCATTTTAGCATCCAGTGTCTTAGAGCAATGGAGTATATACAATTGATGGGTGAGAACTCTCCTGGCCAGGCCAGTGGAGGAGGAAGGACGAGCTCTAAGACCTGTCAGCTATAATCGGCAGGTTCTGAAGTAGTGGCACATGCCAGGTGCCCAAATCTTCCTCCTCGACCCAACGTGACTTGGATGAAGAAATCTGCTTTCATCCTTAGCCAAGTTTACCCACTTTGTCAGTGCTACTCTGCACATTTACTCTGACATTTGCTAAATATTTAGAACATGAGTCTGGACCATTTGGACAGGCCTGCAGAGTGTCTCCACTGGAAGCACTGCAAATGCCCTCATAATGGAGACTATTTTTCAGTGTCATGTATACAATTATTTGTTCAAGTGCTTTTACAAGTACATTCAGATGCTTTCCCAATACTTAAGATTGCAAACTTTTAGTTTTGAATAAAAGCCAAAAGAAGCCCTAGAGAAAAAAGCAATCTGTATCCAAATGTTTGTAAGTATTACTTATTTTTAAGTCAAGCAAAAATTGAGAATAAATTAGATTCCACAAAAGAATGTGTAGGTAAAAGAGGGGTCACTTTAAATGATCATAAATGATAAATGAAGGCATGAAGCCAATGTAAAACTTCTAAATGAGTAAGTGGAAGAAAAAATAGGCATACAAGCTTAATCACTTAGATGAAAACATGTACATACATATGCATACATACTTATTTAGGTCAGAAAGAAACTGTAGTTATCTAAGTAGTTTAGTTGCATAGTATTTAGGTTCTTTTTTTCCTGTAAGTTTCCTATAAATTGTCATGCATTTCTGTTTTTAAAAGATATGCACTTAAAATAAACCCACATTTTATAATTGCATAGCATTCACTCGTCCAAATAAATTAAATGAGTAAAACAAAGATGTGCTTTCCATTTTCTGATTCAGCATAAAGGATGAATTAAGTTATAGACATGTGGATGCTTTTTCTTAAGGATTATCAAATCACTGAAAGAGGCAATACAAAAAATAAGCCAACAGGGTTTTTTATTTTGCTAAAAAAAAGCCAACAGGGTTTTTTTTTTTCCTTTTTTTTTTTTTTTTTTTGGCATGGAGAGAATTTTCATTGGCTTTTTCACATCCGCTTATCCCCCTGAGAGCTGACTAAAACTCTCAACACAGGATTAGGGGCTGACAATCTCGCATAATCTGATTGCACTGATCACTGTGAAATAAAGGATTGGCTGCTCATATCGCCAGCTCGCCAGTTCAATATTACCAGCCTCAAGGTTTTACAACTAAGAAGGAAATCACACAGAGTCCTGGATAAAGAACAGACTCTCAGAAACATAGGAAAGTATTCAGAGATCAATGCCTGGCTGCCCATAAAGTCTGCAGTGGTCTCCACCAGGAACGTCAGGACAGAGGCTTTAAAAGGCAGGCAGTGGCCCCTTCTCTAACATGAGCATCACAAAAGCTTTGGAAGGATTTCTTTTAAGCAAGAATATTAATTAATAGCTTTTCAACAGGATTCACTTAGAAAAAAACTACTCTTTAGAAATGGACCTGCTATGGCTAAAAACGTAGGTCAGTAAACTCCAAGTGCAGCAACGGAAAACATTTGGGAGAGATCATTCTGGTTTACCTTTTCAAGACTGGACCAACAAAACGCAACTTACTGTGCTGGTTAATAAGCATGCGAAAAGAGATGCGGTTGGTATAAAACCGATCCAGAAAATATTGAATGTTACTGCTAATGAAAGGATCAAACCCAAACTTCTCCTTGTATTCAATCACTCCTTGTGCCATTGTTGGAACCACATCATTGTGTCTATTTCTGACTTTAATCAGAACTTGTAGAAAGCTGTGTGGGAGGGAAACAAAACGTGATCAGTCTTTGTATCTCGCAGGCTGATGCGCCGACTTCCCAGCTCCAACCCAGTACCAGTGATCCACTGGGACTTTCACAGGTAGAAATGTCAATCTCATTTTGTGCTACCAGCAAGTACCCACAGGAAACTAAAATATGACCTAAGTTTTTCCTTGAAATTTTCTTTCTATGGAAACGCTTCTTTCAGAGCTGCAGAAAATAAAAGGTTGTAGTAAAGAAAAAAATGCTCAAATACCTTTGCAGGAATCCGCTGACTTTTTGGATAAGTGATTACATATAATATAGGTTCTATAAATGTTTGTTGAATACAGAATTGCAGAACATATCAATATTTCTTCTGACAATAAATCTCCAAGGATTTATTAATGGAGTCTCAAAGCAATAGCTTCCACGAACAAGGAAATAATGTCAAACTGTTTAAGAGTGGAATTTCGAAATAAATTTCTCACAGCAGTAAAATATAGCAATGAGATAGAGAGAGAACAAAGGTAATTAAAATAAATGGATTCAAGTATTCTGGCATATTTTCATAAAGATACATAGGAAAATACTTTGGAATGGTAACTGAGAATGAAAAGACAAATCAGTCAATGGAATCATATTAAGAAAGTGGCATGCAAGTCAGCAGGGAAATAATCAAAATTAATCATCAAATTAATTGGGACTGCAGGCTAACAATTTAAATCACATCCCAATTTCCTTAAGATAAAAAAAAGGATTGAAAAAGGTAACAAGGTGAAATCAGAGACAATAAAAGAATATCAGAAGAATAAATATATACCCTTTGGGCAAGGGAGTCTGTTCTAAGCTAGAAACAAATGATATGAAGAAAATAAATGATGTGACTAGACAGAATTTCAGCAAGTCGATAGGGATATACATTATAAATAAACTAAAAAAATAAAACTGGGAAAACAAATTTGCAAGAGTTATGCCTAGTAAAGTATTATAAAAGAGATAAACTCCATCAGAAAACTAGACAAAGGATCTGACATCAATGAAAAATTCTCAGGAAACTCAAAGGCTAATAACTTCACCCTCACAAGAAAGGCAAAGCAAATAAAAAGAATGCAATCCTGGGTCAGCCACTGGTGATTAGGGCTGCTGGATGCCACATGGCTGACTGTGCTGTTTGAGTCCTGGACCCCAGCAGCTTCAAAAACACACTGTGCCCATGTGCATGCATGTCCAAAATCCTGAGAGAAGAATGAAGAAAAAGGGATAGCAGTGTGGCAGCACCCCCTGGCTCCGACACACACACTTAGTCCCCTGTGGGGAAGGATGCTTTCTTGCCTTTTCTTGCTTTTTCTCTCTCTTTCTGATGAGTACACATGCCCTATAATGAATTTTAAAAATTAAAACAATGTGATCCTATTCTCCACTCCTTAGACTGACAAAGAATAACCCAGAGCTGCTGAGCCTGGGAGCTTTTTTTTTTTTTGGAGAGGATTTTGCTATAGGGCGCGTGCGCTTGCCAGAGAGACAGAAAGCGAGAAATCACCCCCCAGGGGGGATGGTCGCACCGCAATCCCTTCTCCTCCATTCTCCTCTCGGGATCTTGGGCACGCATGCACACGCATCCGACGTGAGTTTTAAGCCACCGGGTCCAGGACGTGAACCGCGGTCGACTACGTGGGAGTCCAGCGACATAGCCATTATGCTAACTGCTGGTTCCCGAGCCTGGGAGTTTAACTGATGCATTTCTAGGGGCAATTTAATAACATATATCAAAAGCCTGAAGAAACTCCCACTTCTAGGAATTGATCCAAGAAAAGTAACTGGACAATGCAAACAGCTATATTTAAAAGCTGGTTTTTATTTTATTTTATTTTATTTTATTTTATTTATTTATTTTTTGTGGTGTGTGTGTGTGTGTGTGTGTGTGTGTGGTGTTTTATATTTATTATTATTTTTCTTCTAGACAGGTTCTCACTACATTACAATCCTCCTGCCTAGGCCTCCCAGGTGGTTAGGCCCATAGCTATGTTTTGCTGTGCCTGGCTCTTTCAGACAAGGTCTTGCTATATTGCCTGCACTGGCCACGTGAAAGTTGTTTTTTTTACAACTTTTACACATTTATAGTAGAAATAAAAGTACAAACTGGTCTAAAATTCAATAAGGGGTCAAATTGCATGCCTTATCCATAGATGGACTAATATTTTGAGCACTATGAAACTGTTAATGGTGTAGATCTATAATGTAGACACTAATGTTTTTGTAAAAAAAATACTTTACATATATAAAAACATGCATGCCTAGGAAAAGGTATGGATTGAAGTAACGCATCGACAGTGGTTGTCCCGTGGTGGTGGAAACTTAGGCTGTCTTTTCACTTATCTGAATAGGATTGTTTTTCTCCAGGATAAACTATTTCTATGATAAATACATACATAACATTGACAGTGGAGATTAATAAATTAACTCTAAAATGAGAAGACCACAATTATTCACAAGGAATTTTATAATGGACAGTTTATCCTTTATGTAAGTCTTTCCCACATATTCATATATGAATGTTACTAAAGTGAAACAGTTTATTATAGTAGAAAGGTGCCTCAACTTATCTCAAGAGAGGAGATACACTTCAATGGTTCAATACTCAGACTACTTCCTCAGTCTTCCAGGCTTTTCTATGCTCTGTCGCTATGAGCAAAATGCTTGCTCTCTAAGGTATTTTTGCTTTCCTAAAATGATTTCCCTTCTGATGATCCCATAAAACCTATACTGAACAAAAAAGGGTGCTACCATAATACTTGTTTATCTTCCAATCCTTTACCAAGATTATCAGACTTCTCAAATCCCAATTACCCTAATTAGCCAAGTGAACCTAGGCAACTCACCGCCACTCCAAGTGAGAGCTAGTGCCACAATGATCTTGGATTCAGTGCTGCAAAGCAGGCCTGTATCCATAAATTGCACCGGATTGGTAACCCACCCGTTCCAGCAACGGAGACAGGACTCCGGGAAAAGTTCAGCAGAAATATAATACCACGTGTTTCCATAAACCTGTATCTCCAAATTTGGAGCTACCACCAGTCCTAATTTTCAGTTTTTCAGCCAGAACAGTCACCAGCCAAGGCTTTTTGGGAAAACAAAGCTCCTGGACTTGATTCACTTAATATCGATAAAAAAAAAAACACTGCATCGAGGCTCTAACCCAATGCTTCCTCTTTCCACACTTTATAGATCTATTAGACAGTACACCTAGCAAAGTATAAAACGAGTTATGGGTTTTCCCCCCTTTATGCACTTTAATGTTTTGTTTATTGCTTACTTATTTTTTTAATTATTTGTATTATTTTTTTACTTAATTAATTTATTTATTTTTAAAAGTCTGCTGTAAGGCACATGTGCTCACCAGAAAGGGGAGAGAGAGAGAGAGGGAGAGAGCAAGTCACCAGGTCCAGGACTGGAACCACTGTTGGCCATGTGGGAGTCCAGTGCCTTAACCACCATACCACCTGCTGGCCATTCATTTTTATTTTTTAATTGCCAGAAGGGATGAGAGAGACAGAGGAAGAGAGGGAGGGAGAGAGAAAAAGCACCCTCCCCTGGGGAATGATCACACCATGATCCCTTCTCCAATCTCCATCCTGTCTGGATTTGGGGCAGCATGCACACATACATGGTGTGATTTTCAAGCCACTGGAGCAAGGACTTGAACTACACAGTTGGCCATGTGGGATCCAGTTTTCTTAAACTGCTAGGCTATGGGGCCCACCCTCCTTTTTCGTAAACTGCTAGGCTATGGGGCCCACCCTCCTTTAATGTCAATTTCAACTAAACCGTAGCCAGCTACTCATGGTTTAAACCAGCAGTCCTGGCAGTAGGGTACATGTAAGAACTGCAATAAAGAAAAGCGTATCTCACAAAAATAATAGTGTCTACACCATTATTAACAGTTTCATAATATTCATATTATTAGTCCATAAGGATAGGTCATGCAATTTAACCCCCATCCCTGTTGTTGGATTTTAGGCTGGATTGTAGTTTCCTTGCTACTACAAATTGGTGTTCTAAATAACAGCTTTTATGCAGACAGCACGAGCAAATAACGTAACTTCTAGGCCCAGCTCTGCTAATGAACTGTTATAATCTTGGATAAATCACATCTCTGACTTCCATTTTCTTCTCTGCGAATTAGAGGTCTGGGGTAAATACCTCCTAAGGTTGCTTGTATAACATGGTGTTTCCCTAGTTCTTTTCATAGAACACCTACATGTCAAGGGTTCAGTCTTAGCCTATGTGGACTAGGTACATGCAAAGAAAGGAATTTCTCAGCACCACAGACCTGCCACAAGCATTCACTTGTGTATACATGAACCAGGAGGAAATTAACATGAAAGAGAAAATCTTGGGGGGAAAAATCCACACCTATAGGTAGGGTTATTGTTTCCCCGCTGAATAAAAATGAAAAACAGAAATATTTTCCAACAGCTTGAGAATTCAGCAGTCTTTGTACACAACAGCAGCAAAATAATTTGGGTTGTTTATAGAAAGCACACTCTTTTATACTTCTCCAAAATAAAACCACAGTAGTTTTTCTGGGCTCAAACGTAATATTCTATTGAAATAAAAGAAATGATAAACGATCGAGTAGATAAATTCATGTGTATTTGGAGGCCACTGCATTCTTAAAACCACCACTAGATGGAACATTTACTGCAATATTTACAGTGAGGGCACAGTTTACCTTGAACAAAGTATTAAAAATTCAGTCATGAACCATAATTTGAAGTGTCATTATTCCCTTTGTATTAAGTTAAATTCTTCACTTGGATTTTTAAAAATGCAATGTTGAGTTATTACCCATTAAGAAACAAATGCTTTCATCCAAATCATATTTCTTAGGTCTTAAGGATGTGAGTTTCATTTACCAACACTTTTTTTTTCTGAGAGAGAGATTGGTGAGTGCACTCATCAGAGACAGAGAGAGAGAGACAGAGACAGAAAGTGAGAAATCAGCCCCCAGGGGAGATGGCCATGCTGCAATACCTTTTCCTCCACTTTCCAAAAAAACACTGCATCGAGGCTCTAACCCAATGCTTCCTCTTTCCACACTTTATAGATCTATTAGACAAAACACCTAGCAAAGTATAAAACGAGTTATGGGTTTTCCACCCTTTATGCACTTTAATGTTTTGTTTATTGCTTACTTATTTTTTTAATTATTTGTATTATTTTTTTACTTAATTAATTTATTTATTTTTAAAAGTCTGCTGTAAGGCACATGTGCTCACCAGAAAGGGGAGAGAGAGAGAGAGAGAGAGAGCAAGTCACCAGGTCCAGGACTGGAACCACTGTTGGCCATGTGGGAGTCCAGTGCCTTAACCACCATACCACCTGCTGGCCATTCATTTTTATTTTTTAATTGCCAGAAGGGATGAGAGAGACAGAGGAAGAGAGGGAGGGAGAGAGAAAAAGCACCCTCCCCTGGGGAATGATCACACCATGATCCCTTCTCCAATCTCCATCCTGTCTGGATTTGGGGCAGCATGCACACATACATGGTGTGATTTTCAAGCCACTGGAGCAAGGACTTGAACTACACAGTTGGCCATGTGGGATCCAGTTTTCTTAAACTGCTAGGCTATGGGGCCCACCCTCCTTTAATGTCAATTTCAACTAAACCGTAGCCAGCTACTCATGGTTTAAACCAGCAGTCCTGGCAGTAGGGTACATGTAAGAACTGCAATAAAGAAAAGCGTATCTCACAAAAATAATAGTGTCTACACCATTATTAACAGTTTCATAATATTCATATTATTAGTCCATAAGGATAGGTCATGCAATTTAACCCCCATCCCTGTTGTTGGATTTTAGGCTGGATTGTAGTTTCCTTGCTACTACAAATTGGTGTTCTAAATAACAGCTTTTATGCAGACAGCACGAGCAAATAACGTAACTTCTAGGCCCAGCTCTGCTAATGAACTGTTATAATCTTGGATAAATCACATCTCTGACTTCCATTTTCTTCTCTGCGAATTAGAGGTCTGGGGTAAATACCTCCTAAGGTTGCTTGTATAACATGGTGTTTCCCTAGTTCTTTTCATAGAACACCTACATGTCAAGGGTTCAGTCTTAGCCTATGTGGACTAGGTACATGCAAAGAAAGGAATTTCTCAGCTCCACAAACCTGCCACAAGCATTCACTTGTGTATACATGAACCAGGAGGAAATTAACATGAAAGAGAAAATCTTGGGGGGAAAAATCCACACCTATAGGTAGGGTTATTGTTTCCCCGCTGAATAAAAATGAAAAACAGAAATATTTTCCAACAGCTTGAGAATTCAGCAGTCTTTGTACACAACAGCAGCAAAATAATTTGGGTTGTTTATAGAAAGCACACTCTTTTATACTTCTCCAAAATAAAACCACAGTAGTTTTTCTGGGCTCAAACGTAATATTCTATTGAAATAAAAGAAATGATAAACGATCGAGTAGATAAATTCATGTGTATTTGGAGGCCACTGCATTCTTAAAACCACCACTAGATGGAACATTTACTGCAATATTTACAGTGAGGGCACAGTTTACCTTGAACAAAGTATTAAAAATTCAGTCATGAACCATAATTTGAAGTGTCATTATTCCCTTTGTATTAAGTTAAATTCTTCACTTGGATTTTTAAAAATGCAATGTTGAGTTATTACCCATTAAGAAACAAATGCTTTCATCCAAATCATATTTCTTAGGTCTTAAGGATGTGAGTTTCATTTACCAACACTTTTTTTTTCTGAGAGAGAGATTGGTGAGTGCACTCATCAGAGACAGAGAGAGAGAGACAGAGACAGAAAGTGAGAAATCAGCCCCCAGGGGAGATGGCCATGCTGCAATACCTTTTCCTCCACTTTCCTTTTGGGAAATTTTGGGATTTGGGGCATGCACGTACATGTGTCCTGTGTTTCAAGTCACTGGATCAGAACTTGAACCACAGTCGGCCATGTGGGAATTCAGTGCCTTAACCACTGTGACACCTGCTGGCCCCTACCACAACATTGTTTACCAGGATAATTTTATTTTCAGGTATGTGGTACCATACTTACTTATCCAAGACCTGTGGGTCCTCAGGGCTCTTGTTTTCATATTCTAAGAGTTCGAGAAAACTCTGCATGTACCTAAAAACAAAAGAGTTACTACATTAGTTGCTTACCCAACATCCATTCCTCCTTTCCCCCTTCCTAAGAGAGCTCCAAATTTTCACTCAGGTCTCTGTCACCACCCCTCCATACTGCCCAAATGATTCAGGGGGAGCTGAAGCCTCCACAGTTTCTGGGTGGCACCATTTTTTATCTCATCCTCCTTGTCACTAATTAGCAATTAGTTCAGTTGTCCAGGTCTAAATCTACCACTGTGCGCATTCCCTTGAACACAGAGATTGGCTCAGGAATGGGCATACTGCCTCAATGCCAGCCACTAAAATAAGAGGATTCTGGGAGAGAAAACAACTTGGCTCTGCTTTTGTACAGAAGGCTGGAATGGCTGCAGCTACTCTGCCACCAGGAGGGAATTCAGCCTGAAAATGAAGCCAACACCACTGAAAGCAGAGCCAGGATAGCCTCATGAATCTATGAATCAAACCAACATGGAAAGCTCATCTTATGGCTGGACCTTCTAATTATCTAAGCCAGGTTCAGTTGCATTTTCTGCTCCTTACAAACAAATGTATACACCAAGACTACAGTTTGATCATCAAAAAGTACACAGAAATTTTAAGAAGCATATGTGACACTAAAGTACATACCAAGAACTTAGAAACTAGAAGTAAAGAAGGTTCCTTTTCTGAGTTAAATTCATTTCATCAACATTTAATGAAAGAGAAGGGATGCCAGTTAAGCCCTCAGAAACAGCGTCTGGATTAAGAATAGCTGTGTATCTTACTCAGAGCCAGTACAAGAAATAACATGTCCAACACAGATCTGGAGAACAAGTGGAGTTGGACAGTCTTACAGCAATAATGCTGTGTAGGTCTGTGAGGTTGACCCACACAGGAAGGTTCCAGGTTCATATCCAGAGACCTCCCTGAACACCCTGGCATGTGTGTGTCCATAGGTCTCAGCTGGCTGAGACTGGAGGTAGACTGTGGTATGGGGATCCTGTTGGAGGTACCTCTCTGTCTCTCACTCTCTCTTTCTTGCTCATAGAAGAAATACATTATCTTTTTTAGAGGTTTTTGCATTAAGGCATGTACAGTCACTGGAGAGAAAGAGAGACAGATACAGTGAAAGGGAAAGTGAGAAATCAACCCCCTGGTGGGGGGATGGCCATGTCACAATCCCTTCTCCTCCATTTTCCTCCTGGAATCTTGGGCATGCATGCACACACGCCCAGCATGAGTTTCAAGCCACTGAGTCCAGGACTCAAACCACAGTTGGGCATGGGGGAGCCCAGGGATGTAAACACCACGCCATCTGCTGGTCCCAGAAATAAATGATCACTAAAAAAGAGATCTGAAGGGGACCAGCAGGTGGTATGGTGGTAAGGGCACCGGATACTCCCACATGGCCAACCATGGTTTAAGTCCCAGACCTGGTGGGTTACTTTCTCACTGTTCCTCTCTTTCTCTCTCTATGTGTCTCTCTCTGGTCAAATTAAAAATAAATGAATGAATAAATAAAAATTAAATAAATAATCTTAAAAAGAAAGAGAGAGAGAGAGAGAGATTGCTGAAGAACACAGAAAAAATGGGATCCAGAAAGCACATTAGTATAGCGGCTACATCTAGCCAGGACCTGCTGGATCTGGTGGCGATTCAGATATTCCAATTAGAGGTGTGTGATTTCTGCTTTGAGTCTTAACATGTCCTGAAAGAAATAACCTCTTATCCTGATTTATTTCTAACAATTAATTACCACTAATCCTATTAGCTATCTTTGGATAGAGAATGAAGATGCTCCAATAACTAAAAATCACTGTGACACGTATAAATACATAAAGAGGAATGACGTTTGATTCATTAGCCTCACGTGAACTTGAGACACCGCATCTGGTTCTAAAGTATATGCATTTTTTTTTTTTTTGCTATAGGGCACGGGCACTCGTGCACTCGCCAGACAGACAGAGAAAGACAGAGAGATAGAAAGTGAGAAATCACCCCCCAGGGGGGATGGCCACGCCACAGTCCTTTCTCCTTCATTCTCCTCTCAGGATCTTGGACACACAGGCACAAGTGCCCAGCGTGAGTTTAAGCCATCAGGTCCAGGACGCAAACCCCGGTCGACTACATGGGAGTCCAGCGACATAGCCATTATGCTAACTGCTGGTCCCCGCATCTCTGTGTTTTTTATTTAAAGTCTCTGGGCACATATGGCTGTGGAGTAGATACTGTTGAAATCATCAAGTCAAAATACCCTGGGAGGTCAAAGTCAGCCAAACCCAGTGATGCCTTTTGTCCTGCCGTGTGTAACGTACTTAGGCAGGTATCCCATTCTTTCAACAGTTCTTTAAGGAGCAAAGTTGTAGACCGGGATGAATCAATGATTACGCTGAGGCTTCTCGTCGGAAGGTCAAGGGAGCAAGGAAAACACACTGTGACTGCGGGACAGTGGTGAGGTCCACTGCCCCTTAGACATGAGACCCACTTTAAAAAGGGGAAGGAAATGACAATAGGCACAATCGTGAACTGAATTCTTAACTCAGAAGAGAAAATTGCTAAAGTAATAATAATAACAATTACAAGAGCACCATTAGGACAATTAATGAAATGAGAGCAAGTTCTACCTATTAGAAAATGTTACCGTATCAACATTATCTTTCCAGAATAATCACATTACGGTTTTCTATTTTTTAAAAAAGAATTATTTTTATTTGGAGCCAGCAGGTGGTATGGTGGTTAAGGTGCTGTACTCCCACATGGCTGACGGTGGTTCAAGTCTTCAACCTGGGTGCTTGCTTACTTACTTTCGCTATCTTCCTCTGTGTATGTGTGTGTGTGTGTGCACATATGTGTGCTTGTATGTCTTTGTGTCTTTCTGGTGAACACATGTGCCCTGTAGCAAATTTTTAAAATAATAATGATAAATAATTATTTTTACAAATAATTGTTTTATTTTATTTATTATTATTATTTTTAAAAATTTGCTACATGGCACATGCATTCACTAGAGAAAGACAGAGGTGGGGAGGTAGGGAGAGAGAAAGTGAGAAAGCAAGCCACCAGGTCCAGGACTCGAACTGCAGTCAGCCATTTGGGAGTCCAGTGCCTTAACCACCATGCCACCTGCTGGCCCCCACACTGTGGTTTTCTAAGAGTGGGTCCAAGGAGAGAGATGCTAAAGTATTTAGGGGAAAAGGGGCATGATGTCTACTTTAACCCAAACGGTTCAGAATAAAAGACTCTGTCATTATATATGCATGAGTGTGTATGCATGTACCATATATGGATGTACTAGAGAGAAAGAGAGAGAGATAACTGGCATGCCAGTATTTGGAATGGAGATGAAAGAGGAATGATGAAGATAAAAAAAAAATAGTCAAGACAGCAGTGAGTCTATACTTTGTCCGTGTTGTTTAGAACAAAAATACATTTGTTGGCGTCTGTCTCTGGTTCTAAGGAACTCCTTTTGATCACACCTAAGTTTATGCTAAGGAGGTGACTTAGGGTTGGTCACCAGAAAGACTGAGTAGTTAGAGGGTTGGAACTTCCAGTCTCCGGGGACCAGAGGGGAATGACGACTGAGCTCTGTAAAAACTCTTGAACAGTGAGACTTCAGATTCCAGATTCGGAAAGCACCCAGGTTTGTGAACACATGGTGGTGCTGCTGGGTGGTGCACCCAGATGGGGCATGGATGCTCTGGGCAATGCCCCACCCCATCCCCTGTTATACCTTGCCCTGTGCACCTCTCACATTCAGTTAAGTTGTGTCCTTTATAATAAACTGACAAAAACCTAAGTGCCTTCCCGAATTCTGTGAGTCAGCCTAGCAAATGATCAAACCTGAGGAGAGGGTCAGGGAAACCTGGTTTATAGCTGGTCTGTCAGAAACACAGGTGGCCCAGGACTTGAGACTGGCATGACTGAAGAGGGAATGATCTTGTGGGACTGAGCCCTTAAGTCATGGGGTCTGTGCTGACTCTGAGAAGTTAGTATCAGGATTGAACTGAATGGTTGAACACCCACTTGGTGTCTGGAAAATCAGAGATTGGTTATTGATTTTGGAAAACAGCACAGAGCCAGCAATTCACTTTGAAGCCCTGAAGTAATTTAGACATAATTGACTTACTACCACCAGGATCAGGGGATCTGATCTTGCCTCCCTAGAATTCCTACCCGGGTGGCTCCCAATAACGATTTTATACTTTCTGCTGGGAAATCTCTCAAGACAGTCTGGAAGCAATAAATTTAGTCTCATACAAGCAAGTCCTCGCTCTTCCTTCTGATGCAAGCTGTGAGTCTAGAGCACAATGCAACGACCATGGAAGCGAAGCCATGGCCACTGTCTCTCTGTGATCTCCTCTGCATTCCAAGGGCCCTGTACCTCACTGCCAGGGGCTGCTGCTTTTCTGGGAAAGGGATGAGACACTGTACCTCTTGGACTACTCAGTATGTTGCCCAGATGATGCATTTCTTATCCTTACAGATTTGTTACAATTAATATTACTGAGAAGTGGCTGTAAAATGTCCATTGTCTTTCAGCAGCCTGGCCTCCACTAACCCTCTAAATGCAAACTGATTAATTGTTCCATTCTCTTTAGCTTCGTCTACCCCATTCCCTTCCCCTAAAATGCTCTCCCTGTCACCTGTATATGTCAGTTCCACCTGCCCATCACGGGGCAGCATGAAACCACAGCTGACATTCTTCCCCCATGCCTGTGGCCCCATAGCACGGTGCTCGGCTTGAGAGCACTTACTGCATCTGGCCTCCCGAATTCCTCTGGCTGTCCTCGCAGAGCCTTCTACCAGAGCCTTCTGGACCTGCAAATGTTTCTCCAATTTATGCAAATCCCTTCCTAAAAACACACTGCCTACTCTTACATCCTACCACCCAGGATCTGGCCCTGCTGGCCTAGAAGGTAGTTTATCACACATTCAGCTTCCTCAATTGAGTAACACAGGCCTTAACATCAGTGCCTTAACAGATTTAAGTCACACTCTGTTAGGATTTTTCCATACTTTGTATAGGGTGAATGAAGCAGAGCAGGAGCTAATGTTTTTCCAATTTGAGATTCCCCTTTAAATGACTTAATTTGTTCTACAAGAAGTATTGTCTTTCGGGAACCAGCAGTTAGCGTAATGGTTATGTCGCTGGATTCCCACGTAGTCGACCGTGGTTCGCATCCCGGACCTGGTGGCTTAGAACTCACGCCAGGCGCATGTGCGTGCGTGCCCAAGATCCTGAGAGGAGAATGGAGGAGAATGGATTGTGGCATGGCCATCCCCGCTGCGGGGTGATTTCTCACTTTCTGTCTCTCTGTCTCTGTCTGTCTGGCGAGCGCACATGCCCTATAGCGAAAACCTCAAAAAAATAAAAAAAGAAGTATTGTCTTTCAGGAACTTCTTTTAAAAGAAAACTAAAAAGAGCAAGGCTGAGACTTGCTAAAACAAAAAAAAAGAAAGAAAGAAAGAAAGAAAAAAAGACAAACATCCTCCAGTCCTAACTCACACAGGCAGCCACGCTTCTATTGTTCTTGACTCTACTTTCTTTTTTTTCCCAATGAGCAATCACACCTACATCCAAAAATAAAAAAATTGTCAAGAAAGTGTATGTATAATTCACAAATACTTTCATTAAAAACTATTTTAGGGCCAGCAGGTGGTTAAGGCACTGAACTCCCACATGGCTGACCACAGTTCAAATCCTGGACTGTGGCAACTAGAAAAATCACACTGGGCATGTGTGTGTATGGCCAGAATCCCGAGAGGAGAATAGAAGAGAAGGGACTGTGACATGGCCACCTCTCCTGGAGGATGATTTCTTACTTTCCCTCTCTCTGTCTCTCTCTGGTGAGAGCATGCACCCTGAGCAAAAATCTTAAAAAAAAAAAAAAATAAGGCCAGTAGGTGGCATGGTGGTTAAGATGCTAGACTCCCACGTGGCTGACTGTGATTCAAGTCCCGAACCTGAGGGCTTGCTTTCCTACTCCCCACCACCTCTCTGGTGAGCACACGTGCCCTATAGCAAACTTAAAAAATAAATAAATAAAATAAAATAAATTAATTAAAAATTGTTTCAATTAAACAGTTAAAAAAAAAACCCACAAAACAAAACCCCACAACTTTTTAATTGCATGGAAAATGCAGCTCTCCTGGATGACACATTCTCAGACAGGCAGTATGTGCTCTTTTCCAAAGATCAGTCCCAGTGCCCAACATTCAGAGCACTGTGGGAAGATCCATTTGAAGCTACGTTATTTACTTACCAACTCTGAACCAACCCCACTGAAGGGCGGTTAAGCAAATTATCCGGCAGAAGATTGACTTCTCTCATTGTGTTAGCCAGTCGCACGGGGAGTTCCTTTCGCAGAAACATATATGAAGTTTTCTCACATGCATTATCTCTTCCTATTGAGAGATAAAAATATGCCGTCATTTGACAACTGAACAGATGGGAGGAATAACGTGCTCTCATAGTAGCACAGTTACTACTAGTCGGAAAGAGAAAATAGCCCTGTTACTAATAGTCGGAAAGAGAAAATTCAATATGCCTGCAATCTCTAGTTAAAATTTTATCCTCTGAAACAGCAAGTTGAAGAAAATAATTTAATTAGAAGAGAAAGAGGACATTTATTCCAAGAGGCAATCTTGAAAGCAGTTTTTACTTAACACAAATATGTTCCCAGCAGTAACCGGCGGCAATATAACAGTGACCTGGGATATAATCTGAATTTGTTTTCAAATAAACACCACGGGAACACAGCCAAATACAAAAGTAGCAGAACATATAAATCCACTCCTGTTTGTAGGGGTTTCCAGGAGGCAACAGATCCATTCATTCCACAAATATTCACCTACGTATGCCAACTGTTTCCTATAATTTTCTCCAAATGTGTTTCTTCAAGGACCACAAGTCTGCCACCATGGGAAGTAGCGACAGACTCCAGAGGCTCTGTGGTTCCAAAGACAGCGTATGGGGTGACACCAGCCAGGAAACCAGATCCCAGCTGCATGTGAAGGTAGTGGGATCTACTAAGGCATGTCTGATAGGGTGAGACACAGCATTGACTATACAGGAGGTCAGGAATCTTCTGGAGTTTGCCCAGAGGTTAGCTGTATATAAAACTTATTTATTTCAACTTTTATATTTTTTTTACTATGTTGCCGTAGGGAGCATGTGTTCACCAGAGGCAGAGAAAAAGAAAGAGAGAGCGAGATAGAGAAAAAGTGAGAAAGCACCCTCCCGGAGGGGTGGTCATCTCTATTGATTTAATTTTTAAGGTTCATTTCTTTTTTCAGCCAGCCTGGATCATGGGCACACATAAACTTGGTATACTCAGGGAGGTCTCTAGACACCAACTGGGAACTTTCCCATGGGGATTGCCCTTGTAGATAATTGTGTTTTAGCATTGTGCTACTGTCTGACCCCCTCCCCCTGAATTCTTTTTACATTTATTTGTTTATTTCTTCTGGGCGGGGGGTGAGGCACCCCCAACAGGACCTTCATGCCATCATCCATCCCCAGCATCAGCCAGCCAGGATCACAGGCATGCATGTGTCTGGCATGTACAAAGTCGCCCAAGAAAGTGAACCTGGGATCCTCCTATGTGGGTCCAATTGTGTTACCGCTGCACCACCATCTGGCCCCAGTGCATTAAATGTACATAAATAGGCCCCAACGATGTAAGAAAATAGCCTAAGTGATTCATTTTTAAGAACAACATAATGAAAATTGCTTAACCAGCTTACAGATGTGAGAACCCCAGAAAGTACACATTCCCAGGAAGCTCCTGAACAAATGAAACCCAAAAACAGCAGGTTACTCTTGAGAAATGACTTCTCAAGATGGTGGCTAGTCACCAGCCCTTTGGTCCTTTTTACTTCCTGGTTCTTTTCTCTCCTCGGGACATTTGGCGGGCCTTTTTTGTGGGCTTGTCCTGAGCCTATACATTTTGCAAGTCAGACAAGTGAGAGAAGGGGACAATAAATGCCTTAGAAGGAAATAATAAAACTTAGACGACACCCAGGAAGATTGTATACCCCACAGTACTCAGCCAGTGAGGAACTGGGGTAAGGACTTGCGCACTAGGGAATAAATTGTGTAATGTAAACATTTTGAGCGCGCCTTCCTCTCAGATACCTGATCTTGCAAGACCACCATTAAAGTCTCAATTCATACCTCACGTCTCTGCGTCATTCTTTGGTATTGGATGGGTGAGGCCATTTCTCATAAATGAGAAAGAAGGTACCTTAACCACCTGAAAGAGGACTCTTAAGCCTTTTCTCCTCACGCCATGTGGCCGTGTAGTCCTGGGACTAGTCTTGCCTGCACTGCCCCCTCCCTACCCTGCTGCAAACAGGATGATGGTTAGGAGATAGAGGACATGACAAAAAGGACATGAGCTTGGGCCAGTGCTGCAGACTGGTGGTTAAGGGAGCCAGATTCCACATGGCCAACCATGGGTCAAATCCTGCCACTGGCAACTTGAAAAACACACCAGGTACATGTGCATGCATGCCCCAAATCCTGACAGGACGAAGAAATGGAGGAGGAGGGATTGTGGTGTGACCATGCTCCACTGGGGGGGAGTACTTTCTCCCTTTCCCTCTCTCATTCTCTCTGTCAAGTACAGGTTCCCTTTGGCATTTAAAAAAGAAAAAAAAAGAAAAGACATGAGATTTGGGGACAGAGGTATCATTAAGCCCCAACTCCTCCATTCTTGGAGTGTCGAACATTTTATAAATTTCTTCACTTCTCTGACTCTTAGCTTCCTTAATCTGTACAATGGGAATAAAGCTGTAGTTTTTTAGAGACTAACTATGATAACACATATGGAACCTGACATGAAGCAAGTGTTCAACACACACTGGTCCTCCTTCCTCTCTCTGGCATACTGGTGGGGCCAACCCATCTCCCCAGCACTGGTGAGGTCTCCCTGAAGGCTGTACTGAAAGGGGAATGTCAGGGCCAGGCCCAGAGTGAGGGAAGCAGAGTTCATCTAACAATTTTCTCCTCCAAACTCTCCTTATTCTTCCACAGGCGATAAAGGCAGCATCCCAACCAGGGTCTTGATGCCATAGTCTACCCCAGCCAGTCCAGATCATGGGCATACACATGCCCAGCATAATCGGGGAAGTCAGTCTCTGGACATGAAACCAGAACCTTTCCATGTGTTTTGCCACTGCATTACCATCTGGTCCCTAAATCCAATTTTCTAGCACTTTCCCTCATGTTCTGGTTTATTCCTTTCTGCTCCCTACCAAATAAGACTTGAACTACAAGAACCCATTCTTGAAAGTAATCTGCAGAACCTTTCTTCCACACTGACCACAACCCCCTTTTCCTTTTCCAAAAAATGTAGAATAGAAGATCTTAAGTCTTAATCTGCCCCTCATGTCCTTCATTCTAAGTGAGCATACTGAAGGCCATCAGTAAATCTTTAACTAATCGATGACTCTGTCTTTCACTTTTGCCCTGAGCACTTTCTTGGCGATGAGAACCTTAATCCCCAAATACCCACCCCAAGTATGGGGGAAGGGAGTGTAACTTCCCAGCAATGACCTCCCCAGATCCACTCTAGACACATTTATTTGGCCTTAGACAACTAACATTTAAAATGGTTCTAGTTTTGATTCAAATAATACACATTATTCCTAAAACGTTCTCTATAAATTAAAACTTAAATGTACTAAAAAACGCTGATATTTATCATAGTGAATCTCACTGTAAAATGAAAGACTATATTATCTAAAAGGAAAATGTTAGATTTCATATATGAGGAGAAATACTTTGCATTCTGATTAAATAGAAAAAAAAATATTTAAAGCACAAAGGAGTCCACCAAATGGTGCAGGAAAGCGCAGTTGGAGTACTAGGCCAGAAAAATCACACCAGGCACATTCGCATGCATACCCAACATCCTGAGAAGAGAACTGAGGAGAAAGAATTGTGACATGGTCATCCCCCCAGGGGGTGATTTGTAACTTTCTCTCTCTCTCATGCATGGCATGCACATGGGCCCTATAGCAAACAAACAAACAGAAAGCACAAAAGATGTGTTGACATTCCCACTGTGGAATGACCAAGACTGCTTTTGGACTAAACCTGAGTCAAGCTCCTGAGCCCTTTTTGACTATGCCCAACCCTGGGCTCCATCTTGACTTCCTTAGTCTAGTTTTAACAAGAGTCATGGTAAGTCCTTGTAGCAAAAATTCCCTGCCATTGGTATCTGGAATCCATAGGGCTAGAAAGTTTCAGAAGGTAAAGGTTTTCTGTTTTAGGAAGGTAAAAAGGAGTGCACACTATATGCTGTGTACAGAGATACAATATAGTTTCAATTATTAATAATGTATATACATTTATACTAAGTAGGATAAGGACTATCATTTCTCTTTTTTTTTTAGAGAGATTTTTGCTAAAGGGCACACGTGCTTGCTGGAGAGACAGAGAGAGAGAGACAGAAAGCGAGAAATTGCTCCCCAAGGGGGAATGGCCATGCCACAATCCCTTCTCCTCTGTTCTCCTCCCAGGATCTTGGGCACGCATGCACACGCGCCCGACGTTAGTATTAAGCTGCTGGGTCTGGGAATCTAACCAAAGTCGATTATGTGGAAGTCCAGTGATATAAGCATTATACCATCTGCTGGTCCCAAGACTATCATTTCAAGTCACTTCTGGTCAGATGTTGTCACTCAATGAATTTGTGAAATATAAGAAAAAGAAATTAAATTTTTAGAGCTTTCTGGACTTCGGAATTCAGATAAAGGGCTGTGGTCCTGTAGGACAGTAACAACAAGGACAGCTGCTGGAGGGGGGCCTGGGTTTGCCTCTACTGGAGCACTTGCACACAGCTTCCTGAGCAAGGGCAAGTTTCTTTATACTTCTAAATCCTAGTGTAGAGACTAGGCGGTGGCACAGTGGTTACCCAACTAGATCTGCATTGGAAAGTCTTGGGTTTGTATCCAGGGACCTCACTGAACATGCTGGGGTAGAGGGGGAATGTGCACATGCCTACGATCAGGACCAACTGAGACTGGGGGTGAATTCCATGTAGGGACCTGTTGGGGGTACCTGTCTCTGTCTCTGTCTCTCTATGTCTCTGTCTTACAGAAGAAAGAAAGAAATGAACTTTAAAAGAATCTAAAAACTAAACTGGAGAGGTAACTGTTTATAAAATAAGAACAGCACCTACTTCATAGAGACTTGTTAAGGGTTAAAATGTACTTAACATTTAACAAGAATACAATCTTAAAGCGTCTCTGAGAGGGGAATCATTAAATAGCAATCACTAATGATGCCGATAAGGATTAAACAGCACAGCCTGAAACCACTGAAGCAAGATCAAACAGTCTGATAATTGATCAGCCCTGACAGAAGATTGCATTCTGGGTCAGTGTGGTCTC